CAGCTTGTTCTATGCTGCCTGGTGGCCCCGAGCTCTTGGGCTCAGGGATTCTCCAGTCTGTGCATCCACCTTTCCAGCTCCCCTGCCTGGGTCTTCGGCAAGAGCAGGTAAGTACCAGGCTGGCCCCTAAGCAGAGGGAAGGATGGAAGGGTCTGGAAGCTACCCAAGCTCCTTTTCATCTTTCTTCCTTGTCAGCACCATGAGCCTCATAGGGCAACAGGCACAAAACTGAGTTTGCCTTGTACAGCTATGAAATCTTGAGCCAGTCCTTGCTGGAAATAGGAGCTGAAATAGGAGCTTAGGAAAGTATTCACCTCTACCCCATAACACAATTTGTGGTACTTTTCAACCAAAATTAAACAGAAATAATTTTTTAAAAAACTTATAAAATGAATGATAACTCCCTTTTTCTTGTCTGTCTTTCCCAGAAATAAATCATTTTTTTGTCTTTTTTGAGGTCATACCCTGGTTACTGCTGGACAAAACCCAATCAGATGGTAAATCTGAAGGCAGTGACAGAGTGGAAAATATATCAAGAGCTCTGAAGCCATTACAACATTTTAATTACATACTAAACTGGTTTTTCCACAAAGCAGTAGCCTTCCAGATGAAGGGACCCAGGGCTGATAATAGTTGCTGATGCCCAGGCTGCAGAGTGTGTGGTCAATCCCTTCCAGTCAGCTTCAGCTAATAGTACTTCTAAACCACTGCCTTACTTATCTCACGATATTTTATAGCTATAATAATTATTTCATTTGACCTTTTGTTGACCACTGTCATTTACTCCACATTTTGGCACAAGGAAGGCCTATTACTGGCATTGTGCTCCCACCAGCAAGGAAGTGCCTTGCCCTCTGAACACTGACAAATAGTTGGCTTGAGTTGTGCCCTTCAGCACAATCATCCATCACCATCATCCTTTAAAAATCTTTTCATTGCTAAGGGTAGTCGGACATGAAGGACTGAAGTGTCAAGTGAGGACCTAAGGGTAGTGGGGAAGCTGTGTGTTTAAACTCTTAAGACTCCTAGTCTGGATAAGGTGCCCTGGCAGGACTGGGGGATGCTCCTGCAAACTCACTGTGTGCGTGTTGTGTGTGTAAGGAGATATAGCAGGCTTCGTTTTTAAAGAAAAGCCCTGACTAAACACAGGATGAGAATCATGTGCTATTCCCTGATGGCTATTGGAAGAGAAATCTACTTTTTCCCTAGTTGCTTCTGGGCTGTTGGGTATTTTACAGGGAGAAGCCTGAATTTAAGGATTACTGGGGGCTAATAACAAAAGGAACAGAAGTGGCATGGCACAGCACACACGCACACTGGTCCACATTCCTCCCTTGCGGGTCATTAGCAGGGTTGGGAGCGATAAACCCGGTTGTTGTCTCTGCTGCTGGAGCTGCAGTGCTAGCAGGAGCGTGTGGAGGGAACAGAATAGGCAGGAGAAGTAAAATGTGATTTAGTGGCTTTCAGAGCTCTCTGTTGAGAGCAGAGGACAGAGAGGCTTCAGGCTGGATTCCTGTTTGCAAGGGCTGTTTTCTCTGACAGTTGTGTGCTGTTCTTTCTCCAGTCTCCTGCCACAAATGTGTCTTTCCCCTCTCTGTCTTCAATTCCCAGATCACTGTTCTGTCCTCTGCCATCTCCCACGTGATCCTTTCCATACCCTGATGAGGCACTCCATTTCCTGCATCGTGTGTGTCCCAGGCAGTGTCTTCTGATAGCTCAGTGGCATAGCTGTTTGCCTGCAGAGCAGGTCACACAGCTGTCTCAAGCCTGTAATAGAATATGCTCAGGTGCTGCAAGAGGCGCATATGTTACTTGGTTAGCTGACATGGAAGACGGGCAAAGGGATGGAGTGTTCAGGTAGATGCCTTCATGTTAATCATGAAGTGCGCAAAAACTAAGTCATCCAAAGGACTTAACATGAAACCAATTCTGAGTAGGTTTTCATATAAAGAGGAAAAGGCATGCGCCAGGTGAAGGTCTTCCCCTTATTGCTGAGGGTCATGTCCATGTTCAAGAGTGAAAGGAGACTTGAAGCATCTAAAAAAATACTTGTAATTCATTCTTTTACTTTAGATAAAACCAAACTTCCTTTTCCTTGACTTTCTTCTCCATAATTATCAAACAGGCTTTGTTGAAATTGTTTCATGCATCCTTCTTTCCTCAAACAAAACATTCATTCTGAGAAGCATATCATGTAGTAAATGTTGGCTTCCTAACAGGGGCGGCAGACAATGTTAACTTCCCAATATTGCTCCCAGCTCATGTGCAGAATGCATTTCTGATTCCTCTCATGCAGCCTTTCCAGGTTTTATTCACACAATAAACCCTTTTGTAGTGCTTATAATTGTAGTTTTCTAGAACTCGTCCAGAGAGCTGCATATGGAGCTGCAACCATGCTGTCCTTAGAAGTGCAAGACAAGGATCGAGATGGAGATAGCTGCTGAATTTGAACAAAGCAATTTGCTGGTCACCCATAGAAGGTTACAAGTTTGAGAAAATGTTGTAATCAAGTAGTTTCAATTTGAAAAGGCATAAATCTGTGCGTAGGTTGGCTCCATAGGTCTCTGCTGATACTTCATTTGCCTGCTTGAAAATATTGCTGCGATTTCACTTCTAGGAATGTCTGATCCATTTATCTGGCATGATAGTAACGGGGAATGGAGGGGGCAACCTTCAGTCATTTCTCCATGTTTATTAGGACACTATGCTAGCACTAATTTTCTGAATCGGACATGAGGAGAACGCTGAGGGCATCCATGAGTAGTATTTTCAGATATACCCATTGCTACCTGAACATCAGAGCAGCAATTGCTCTGTATTCCTCCTGTTGTAACACATGGCTGTTACAACACGCACACAGGCAGAGTGTGAACGTGTCCACAAGTGAGGAATATGCAATTTGCCCCATGCTGGAAGAGGAACATGCTTGCAACAAGATATATTTTGTTATTGCTGCAAGAACTGGAGACATTTCCTATTTGTACATTACATGTTAACACATACTTAAGTTGCTTAGCAAGCAATACAGACATCTCTAACATTTCAGTTGATTTCAAGTGTATTTCTTTGGGAGGTTTACTTTTATTTGTAAATATGTGAAATCTCCATTTATTTTTTGCGTATTTTCTCAAGTGTTTCAAAACTGGCAAAGTATATTTTGATTCAGACATCCCCACATTCCTGTCTTGCTTTTTTCTTATACATTTTAGCTTCAGTCTGACTAACAAAGAAATATTTAATACAGTATGTTTGGCTGATGATTTATTGGAGTTGAAATGTAGAAGGAAAATACAAAAAGCATGCTAGAATTGAAATGTGTTACAGGATTTTTGCAAAAAATGCTTGTGAAAATATTTTTGTTGCCTTTGCTTTCTGTCTGAAGACATTGCAGGGAATTCCAACTGAAAATATAGCCTCTGCAATTTGCCTAAAACATGTTGGAGTTTTATTTTACAAAGAAGAAACAATTCCAAAGTGCTTGTTATTTACACTTTTAATTTCTCTTCCTATTCAAGTACAGCTTGATGCAATAATCAACTTCAAAGAAGAAACCAACTACTTGATAAATGTTCCAATATACAAGTATAGCTCATGAATTTTATATTTATATAAACGTGTGTGCATATATACATTTTATCTTAGATCTATATAGACATAGTTGGTTCTTGTTTACTGAATAGGTTTAAATTTAGCATAATGGCTGTGTTTGATTGCAAATCAATATTTTCAATGTTGTAATTATCAATTAGATTCTTTTTCCAGTTTAAAAAAAATCTTTGCAGTACAACATTAAAATTGATTAATTCAAATCAAGGAATCATTATTAATACTTGTGATTCAAATAATTGTGCTTTCAAAACAGCCCAGGCTGCTTTCAGAGGGCTTTCCCAGTCCGTCCTGGGCAGATGGGAGCGATTCGGTTTCCCTGTTACAACAGCAAAGGTTTGCCTCAGTTGGCAAGGGCTGTGCTTCTCATTCGGCAGAAAGTTGGGTGATTGCAGCCTTACTGAGAGGAGCTCCTGCATGCTGTAGGTGTGTATTTTTAGAGCGTTTCAGGGGCTAAGCCAGCTAGAAGGTGTGGTATGAATGGCAGGTTTCATTTCTGTAGTTCTTTAGAAGCTGAGCAAAAAAAAAAAAAAAAGCAATGAGTGAGAAGCATGCACAGCTGGGAGATGAGTAGAGTAGAGTAAATCAGTGTAGAATTCCTTCTCCAGAGAATGAAGAGTATAAAAGCCTGATGGTAAGTCTTCACCAGGACAGCTGAGTGTGTTAGGGCACGTCCAGCCAGCCCTGCTGCACCCAAGCCTTTTCCCCGGCAGCACGCGGTGCCATCGCACCTGGCTTTGTGCATTTATAACATTGCAAGAACACAGTATAGGGCAGGGTGCTGCCAGCCACGGGGCTGGGGTGGGTGCATGGAAGCAGACCACCGAAGCGGGAGTGAAAGCTGTGGTAGGCAGGTTAAGGTTATTCACTAGAGAGGGACTTTATTTTGTGGCTGCCCTCTGGCAGCAGGGGAAGCGGGCAGAGGAGGGTGGATTTTCTGCAGTAGAGTTAAGACCCAGGCAATGTTATTGAGCTGAGAGGTTGGGGAATGTGAACAAAATGGGTAAGTGTTGATTTTATAGCTGGGCTAATCTGGTCATTGTGTGGGAGTGCCTTGTTGTTAATGATGACTGATAACATTATCATGCCACCACCAGCTCCCAGCATACTGTAAGTTTTCTGGATGTGGGGCAGGGTTGGGGGTTGAAAGGCTTGTCGAGTTTTCCCGCCTTTTCTAATCTCTGGAGAAGATGAGGCCATGCCCCTCAGGGCTTTATGTGTGATAGAGGCTGTCATAGAAGGTGGCATTAACAGGTGCTCATCTCCTTGGTGCTGTAGAGCTGGGACACTCTTACATGCCTCCCCATCCCTGGACTTCTACCCCAGAACTTAGACAAATATCACCAACAAATTTTGTGAGAGTTTCATATTTTTTTTTCTCTTTTTTTCCCAAGCATCCTCTTTGCAGACATAGAGGGTTTCACAAGTCTGGCCTCCCAGTGCACTGCTCAGGAGCTGGTCATGACGCTGAATGAACTCTTTGCCAGATTTGATAAGCTAGCAGCTGTAAGTTTTCTATTATAATTCTGATATATTTTTTTCCTGTTGCAAGAATGACATACTGTGCTGGTTCACTGGATTTCTGTAAATATTCACTGCCCTAAAAGGCAAGCTATTGCAAGCATGAATATAAGCTGAGTACTTCTCTCGCCTTTATTATTGTTATTATTTTTTTAGGAGAACCACTGTTTACGTATCAAGATCCTGGGTGATTGCTATTACTGTGTGTCTGGGTTGCCAGAAGCACGAGCTGACCATGCACACTGCTGTGTTGAAATGGGAATGGATATGATAGAGGCCATCTCGTAAGTACCATATTCCCCATGGAGAATTTCAGAACAAATAGCAAGTAGATGCTCTTTCCCATTAGGTCTTCCTTACATTAGTAGCAAGGTAGCCAAACCAGGGAACTGATGCCAGCAAAAAGGGAGACCAGCTGGAACAGGAAAACAAAATGCAGTAAAGGTTTGACAGGAGAAAGACAAATGCTTGAGTCCACTACAGCCACATGAATATCAGAGCTCAATCTCCTGATGAGAAAAGCAAAGGTTACTGTAATTACTGGAAGTCTCATTCCCAAAGGAGGATTCCAGTGGATTACAGAAATGTGAAATCAGAGGATTAATAATAGCTTTATTAAGTTTCAGTCACTCTTTACTTATCTGTCTTTAAACCAGCTTTTTACTCACTTTACAATTCCTCTGCTAAGGTCTGTCTTGTCTAGTTTAATCCTTCTCCATGTGTCCCTATGCCACAAAGGTCAGATTCAATACTTTCTTACTTTAGTTTAACTAATTATTGAAGAAAACCATAAGGTTGGTCTGGCACAGACTGGGACAGATCCATGGTGTTTTTTCCTTTATTTCCACTTCCCCATCTTTTTTTTTTTCTTTTAAAATCTGTTCTGAAGCTTTGCCTGCTCCTGAGGTCAGACTAGCAATCCTGTGTTTGTCCAGACAATTCCTGTCTTCAGAGAGTAACAAATGTGAGACTTGTATCTAGTTATATTACTTGGAGGACTGCAGACAATGTTGATTATTATTTGGCCTGGACATGAGCTTTCACAGGCCAATTCTTTCAGAATTCATGGAGGGAAGATCTCTTTGGTCATCTTGAGTGTATGCGAGTTTAGGCACAAATTTCAGTCAGTTTTGGATGGTAACTGAGCTGACCTTACTATCTACACCATCCCTGCTGCACAGAGACTCAGCTTCTTTTTCCCTTCTCTTCTAGTTTTTTATTTTGTGAAAGCATCTTCTAAAGTATCAGTGGTACCAACACAGAAGTAGAAGATCTCTATGCAGTTCTTCTCTCATCCTGTTCAGTAAATTGATGGAGTTTCCACTTCATCTTATAGAATCATAGAATCATAGAATCGTTTAGGTTGGAAAAGACCTTTAAGATCATCCAGTCCAACCATTAACCTACACTACCAAGTCCACACTAAACCAATCAAGGGTAGACTAGACTAAACCATGTCCCAAAGTGCCACATCTACCCATTTTTTGAACACTTCCAGGGATGGGGACTCCACCACCTCTCTGGGCAGCCTGTTCCAATGCTTGACTACCCTTTCCATTGAAGAAATTTTTCCTAATTTCCAACCTAAACCTCCCCTGGCGCAGCTTGAGCCCTTCTTGATAAAAACTACCTATTTGCTGAGCTTTGTGCAGTACATCCTTACCATTTGAACTTCTGCAAAGACATGACTACACACCCACACTTTTCAGCCTCATTTTCATAACACAGACCCACAGTTTGAAAAGCAGTGTTTCCACCCAGGAGACCCCATTCAAAGAGCAGTGCGCAGCAGCATTCCCTTGCTTTATATATAGTGTATGCTGTCAGGACTTTCTACCTTTACTTTCCTCATTTTAAACTCTGTTGCTTTGCACCAGTCTCCTTTTGGGGTTTGTATGCAAAATGCAAAATAAAAGGAGTTGCAAGTAACCAGTTTTCAATAGCCCTTGAAAGGATGCTGGTTTTTCCACATGAAGTACAATTAAGTGGCAGGTGACAAAATATCTTGTCAAACACGAGAAGCAGCAATTCATAGCCACCAGCCCTACAAAGAAGATACTGTGTACATTGCCCAGAAAAGTCTCACTTTCTGCAGTAGCTGGCCTGATGAAATCAAGAGACCTTGACACGTTGCTGTGTAATCCCCCACAAGGCCGAGTAACACCAGGATGTCTAGACTTCATTGATTAACTGCAACCCACCTTACCTTGAAATAAACATGGAGCTGAAGTGCACTCAATGTTTGTTTACAAATAGCTCTTCAGCAGCCTTTAAAACTTGTTTCCCACTTGATGTGTGATGAATGCATTTAACAATCTTATCTCTTAATAAGTCTGGAAGGTGACTCTATTCTCACTACCCCTGCTTCCCCCCCCACCTCTTCCTCCACCAAGGAACAAGATAAGAGGTTTCACAATTAAGGTAACCAATAGCTACCAAACATTTGATTGCAAGCTTCACAACACTGGGCCTTGTCTGTAGGCTGATTTCATCTGTGTGCAATAACAGCAGGGAGCACTACCCCAGATCAGAAATAGAGAATTATATTCACTGTACTGCTGATATAAGTGAACTAAAAAAGAAGGAAGGTAACAAAGGATATTTTATTTGTCTATGAAGGGTAACCAAACTCATTTGTTTGCTGCAAAGTCTGGAGAAAGTCATCTTCTCATCAACAACTCTACTGGGAGAAGTTCCCTGGTCTTGTGTCAGTAACGTGGCTTGGCAGAGGGTGCAGTAGGGTTTGTAGCACTTGTGCAGCATGTTCTTCCTCCTTCCCCAGTGCTGTACCCACACTGCAGCTGCTGTTGTCCTTGCAAGGGTTATGGCTGCAGCTGCATTTTCATTATCCCAGTTCTTGTTGTTTTCCCAAGTGTTGTGGTTGGAGCTCTTTCAGTTCGTAAGCTTGTGGCACCTTACTCATACGCAGTTTCCCTTCCCTTCCCTGCTAGAGAATCTATGCTGCTTGTTAATAAAAATAATGAATGTCACTTCAGAGAGTAGGTAGTGAAACGTAGAATAAGGATTGTAAGGAAATAGGAACTGTAAGAGGGTAAGAGCTGTCTCAACAAGAGGTCATCTTGAACAGTCTTTTAAGGGTCATATTACACTGTGAAGAGTGAACTAGGGTCCCGAATTGGTCTATCTTTAATCATTCATTTTCATTAATAACTAAAGCATAAATATTAGATCTGTGTTGGTGTTAGAAAGTTGGGAGGACTTAACCTGTCCAAAGGATGTTATCTAGAAAGGACTAGATGAACCTGAAAACCAAAGAGGTTGAAATCTGACAGGTATAAAGTACAACTTCATGTTGCAAGGAACTAACAACTCAAAGGAAAGGACTGTGCTATGTGATGTAGGTGAGTTTGCCTGTGAAACATGGGCATTCTGGGAATGATATGTTCAGCAATAACGAGAAGCAGAGTTGTTCTGATGGCCTCATCAAGACTTTCCCCTACCCACATTCCTAAATATATTTTCCATGTGAACGGCTCTTGAAGTTAACTTTTGCCCTAAAAGGGCAAAACCCACAAAGTATTCCAGCAGTCATTTTGGGAGTAAACAGAGCATCCAAAACCTCATTAAAATCAGAGCTTGAGTATTTGTAGCTGCCTGTTTGGAGTGACTGCAATAGATGTGGTTCTCTGGTTTTGCTGCTCTGACTGCAGCTGTAAGCCCCGTTCAAGCTTTCCAACTGCAGTGGGGTATTTCACACACATATCATATTTCAACTGTGGAAGAGCTCATGCTTGGTGCCGTACAGACAAATTAAGATCTCTGAAATCATTTCCTTTTTCTCTTTGCAACATGCTATTACTCTTAATGAGGCTGAGTGCTGGCAGGTTATGTCCAGCTTTGGTATGGAAATCAGAGACCAGCACTTTATTCCTTTTACTGCCCCAAAGATTTTTTTATGAGTTCTCAACTTGACTATGAGGTCAGAGTACATGGATTTACTCCAAAGGCTCCCTTTTCCAATTAGTACTCTGCTTGTCCAGCCAGGCCATCCAAGAGCAGTACAGCTGGTCTAGTTTTGAGCAGCACTGTGTGTATGCATGAATAATTTATGGGTCATTATGGATTTTTGTGTTCTGGGTGCAAGTTTGTGCCACCGACTACAACCATGCAGTTCTTTGTGATATCCTTTTTTCCCATATCTCTTTTCAGACTAGTCCGGGAGGTGACAGGAGTAAATGTCAACATGAGGGTTGGAATCCACAGCGGGAGAGTTCACTGCGGGGTCTTGGGCCTTAGGAAGTGGCAGTTTGATGTGTGGTCCAACGACGTTACATTAGCCAACCACATGGAAGCAGGGGGCAAAGCTGGGTAAGTTGCTTCATCAAAGCTGTCGTGTTAATCCGTGTGTTGTTTTGTGTCTGACTTGTCACAGTGAGGTGGGGTAATGGAGGACAGAGGTTCAGAGAGTCTATATGTCTGCTGTAAAATGAACTGTGAGTGTAGTGTTTTAAGCATGTACAAACATTAGCAAGGTTATTCCATTCCATTGTCTACATGTCTTTGGTTACAGAAAGTCTACAAAATCCCAAGATGGTCATATCATTTTGTGGTAAGAACTGAATCCCTTCTCTGTGAAACAAAGCTGATAGATACAACAGAAATGAGCAGGTCTGTGTGAACGCTACCAGAGCTGGTCATGGTTACGAAGAGATGTGACTGTGTGTTAACAGTGTTTGCTGGAGAGCATCCCAGCTATCGATGGATATTGTATGAAGCGTTGTTTCAGACCAGCCTTTTGTTTTGAAACATTCATGTGAGAGAGCAGAATCAGTTCTTGTTTCACCACTGTATGGACCAACTGAAGACAGAGTTGCTGCCAAGTTGACTCCGTGAGATAATTTTTCTATGTGGCTTTCCATCTTTTCTCTGCTCTGGAAGAAAGCATAAGACTATGGTACTTGATAGGATACCTCTACAAGGCACTCTTGTACCACAGTGATTAATGTGATACAACAAAAAAGATACATGCTACTGTATATACTACCTGTGTCCACTGAGTAAACATGTCCTTGTGAAGGGCCTGTGTTTGCCAAAAAAATATATCTGCTGCATGTTAGAGCAAAGTGAATAAAAGAATGAGTGCTTTGTATCTGAGGAGGTGCTTATAAATGGATATGTAAGATGCTTAATCTGAACACCTCCTTCTTTAAGAAGATGCCTCCTGGCCTGCTCCCTTTAAAATAGGTGAAACTCCATTACTACATCTGTAAGAGTAGTGGCATGGCTAAATAAATTGGGTTTTATTGCTTGTTTGTTCCAGTACATGGAACCTGTCACTGACAGGAACTGGCTTTTTAGGTGACAATTTTTCAGAGCCTACAAAACTGGCTTGTCTTTTGTCTCATTCAAGGCGCATCCACATAACAAAAGCAACCCTGAACTATCTCAACGGAGACTACGAGGTGGAACTGGGCTTTGGAGGAGAACGCAACGCTTATCTGAAAGAGCACAGTATTGAGACCTTCTTGATTGTACGGTGCAGCCAGAAACGGGTAAGACCAAACAAACTAATGCAGGTTTAGATACTTTTGATAACTAGATGGTCTCCAACACACCAAAGTAGAGTGAATGCCAGCCTTTATGGATGAGTGAATTGACTACCTGACCTTCCGTAACAAAAATTCCTGTTTCTCTCTCCTCTTCCTGAACTTCTGCACGCATAGAAGGTTTCTGCACCAAGTACTCTCGTTCTATCAAAGAAACTGTTGTAAGTTGTTTTCAAAATCATTTGGGAGAATGTTGTTAATATAGATACGTATTTTTTCAATTAAATTTGATACTTGTACAAGCTATTAAAGTAATAGATTAAAACCACAAAGATCTCTTCTCTGTCATATTTCAGACAGAGGTGTTTCTGTCCACCTGCTCACCTTATCACTATGAACATAAAGACTAGAGCAGTTCTTATCATTACTTTTCAGCCTCTGTTTCTGAAGATGTGAAAATCTGGTCCACTGTAATGATGGGTGACCACTGTGACAGTGGGATGAGATCATACCTACTGCTATGACACGGGTCAGGCTGCACAAAATAAGGCTATTAGGGCATTACTGACTTGAACTTGAGTCAAGTCAAACTCAAGTGGACTTCAGCCAATATATCTTCTTTTTGTGATGCTGCCAATAACAGAAAATAGGTTGATGTTATCACTAGTTTGTATTCTTTTAAATCATGGTAGACTGTAATACTAGAAAAGGACCTTTTTGAACATCTAGTTGAGCCTAGCCAATAATATTTCTCTAAGTAATTTCTGCATTATAGACACTACTTTTCTATTGACAGTACAGGCAAGCATATAAAGATTGGCCTGAATTGAAAATCATTTCAAATATTTCTGAATCTAAGACCAATTAAACCTTCCCACAGCTGTAAATATGACTACCATGAGATTAAATGGATCAGTGTTTGTGACATGTTCCAGTAGCATGGTTGATTTGAATAACTATAACACCTGTACAGAAATACTTTGCTACCATTGCCTCATTTCCTGGGAGAATGGAAGCCTCGAATCTCCTTAATGGATATTGTGTAAAAAATCTCCAAGAAAATCCCTTATCATCTGCTAAAGAGAGAAGCTGATGTTTTGGTTTCTATCTGCTCATAAGATAAATCTCATTAACAATTGTCAATCTTCAAAAGAGGATTAGAGCTTACAGTGCAAGATTATTGTTTCCTGAGCATCACTGCCTGTTAGTGGGCCAGATGATTTTTATACCTAAACCACTTCTTCTTTGCTGGGTAGATTTAAGAACATAAACCAAAATACCCTCATGGTCAGGCCTCATCTCCTGGGGTGGAGAAGCTATATTGACTTCTTAAATCATGCACTCACCAGGTTGTCTGCATGTTCTTGTGGAGAACTGAAGGTTTCTCTGGAGAGAAAAGAAAAACCTAAGATCAGGATTCTGCTCCTTGCTCCTGTAGACAAAAAACTAAAAAACAGAGGCACAGAGCACTTGGGACTTGACTTCATTTTTGAACACAGGGCTGTCTTTTGACTAGGAGACTGGACAGAGACTCAGGAGAGATGTGGATTCCATTCCAGACTCAGATTTTGAGGAACTTGCATCTCTGTGCCTTGATTTTCCATGGTAAAATAAAATTGATCCCCCCCCCGGCCCCCGCAGTCTTTCACTGCTTTATATGTATTTATTGCAGCTCTGTTACACAGTGTAGCCCTTAGCTGAAGTCTCTAGGCACTACTATAATGCTGCTCTAACGTACTGCATCCCAGAGTAGCTAAGAACTGGGACATGCGCGTGGCCTATGTAATTATTGTGCTAAATTGAAACATAAAGAAACTGCTACCCAAGGTCATGAATGTTAGTGTTTAGAGTTTGCCCATAGTGCTGCAACTTTCTTGCTCCCGTAGCCATTTTGTATCCCTTTGTGAATAGTTTAAAGTTCTCTCCCTCTTTAAAAACTCATTTTCACATAATGTGAGGATCAGAAGTGAGAAAAGCTCTCCATCATAGTCAGCTCAGTCAGTCTTGACTATTTTGCCTGATGCTAGGCAAAGGTCTAGCACTTCACTTTTTCCTTCCATTTCTACTTGATTTTAATGATGACCTGTGATGTATTTAGCCAGGTTTTCAGTTCAGTCTGTTCTAGTAAAGGCCATAAAATGTTCACCTAAGTTAGTAACGGGTTCCTGTGAGTCGTGTCTCAGTTCCTGCTATCCTCACACACAAGGCACAGGATTTGCACTGACCTGAGAGCAGATGCATAGCTGACTCAAGTAACTGTTCACCTGAGCTATTCCTTAGTTCACACAGGCAGACTGGAATTATCTGAATACCTGGAATTATGTGGTCCATCAGACCCACAGCCATCGAAACCCAACAGTACCAGGAGTTATGATGAATGTATAAAATGTAACAGCATCTGTTCCATACCCTTTCTGCTTACTGTTGCCATGGGGAGCTATAACTCTGAATTTCCTGTCTTTTTTTGTTTATTTGACTTTTTCATCATGTTAATGCCATTTCTTTGGCACAGAGTAAATGGGAGGAACATTTATCTAATATTTTTGTTCCAGGAACTCAGACTAGCTCCGTCTTTGAAAATAAGTTTTTTTCCTTGTTAAGGATGCTGTTAACTGGAATATATTTAGTTGAGTTTTAGGGGCGAAAAAGCTAGATTCTGATCACTCAGTCTTTAAATAACATCCCTGGAGCTGAAAATGTAGTCCTTGTTTTCTATCTGGTACACAGAAGAGTTGCTTTCTGTTGAAAGACAATAAACTGCAAAGTTTTAAAATCCAGTCTGTTTAGGTTTCTCTCTCCTCATCTTTACCTCCAGATCTGCTTTCACCTTTCTGTTTGCCCTCTCCTGCAATGCTGCTGCTCTTGTGGGTGAGCACTTGCCTGGGAAGAAGGCAGTGCTCAGATACCCCAGAACGGTGCAGGAGTGACTTTATTATTGCAGTGTTATGTTCCCCTAGATGAAAGTTTTTGTGGGTTTTCTTGAACGCATAGATCCAAAGTTCCAAATTTGTTTTCCTTGTGTTTGCTTTCAATTCCTGAAGCCAGGGTTTTGTTAATTGAAATATAAAATACTCTCAACTGTGTGAGATACAAAGGGTGCCATGCATGTCATTGTAAGGTGAACCTATACATATATAGACACATATACATATATATAACTCTGTGTGTATATATATATAAAAAAAAAAATTCTTGTCATAAAATTATCAGGCTTTACCATAAAGGTCTGTTGAATCTTTTGCTGTGGTTTGTTTGTGCCCATTAATGCTAACAGTGGGCTGCTCTAAAACCTGGTTGCTCTGGTGCCTGGTTGCTCTGGTTGTCTGGTGTCTGCTGTCACACAGCAACTGTATCCCCTCTCTCCCTCTCAGCCTTTTTTGCCCTAAGATAAACTCTTCTAATGTCTTCTCACAATGAAGAAGAGACAAACACAAGCTCTCACAGCACGCTTTTCATTTTCATGATCATCAAAGGAAACCTCTACCTTTTGCATAGTTGCATTATCTTGATGTCTGATATTTATTCTGTGATGAACTAATGTGATTCCTGATAATTAAGTGATGTTTCTGACTGTAATCTTTAAGTGAATGATCATGCATTTTGTACACTTGAGTGTCTCAGGTCCCATTTCTACTATGTCAGTCCTCAAATGTCAGGTGCTTTTTTTTCCTATCAAATACTACCTCTGCTTCTCTCATTAGCAAAGTCTGTCATTGCCACACTTGGTGCCAGATGCGATAAGAAAAAAATTAAACAAAATATGCCCTGAGACTAATCATTGAGTAACTCTCCTAGTAACTTCCATCCAGCTTAATACTTTCTCATTCAAAACCATCTCTTGCTATTTCACTGGAAACCAGCTCTTTGCCCATCTTCGTATTCCCCATCTGTCTCCATTAGTCTCCAGCACAGCACTCTGTCAAATGCTCTATGGAAAAAACAAGGCCAGTGAGAGCTACTGTATTTTTTCTGTTTAGAAAAACTTGGATGCTCTCAAGGCTGTTAATCCAAGCCCAGCATTTGCTGCTCTACAAGTTCTGTGTCATGATCCCTGACAAAATCGTTATTAAAAGTATCTGTTACCAGAACTGAAATTGCAGTTGGCAGTTTTGCACACATCTGGGATGGAAGTTGTCCTTCTGACTTCAGCACATCGTACTTAAGTTTTGCTTCCAGCTTAGTCATGTTTTCCATTTATAACCCTACGCTTAAGATCCTCTTCCCTTTTGCCTCTACTGTGGCTGTAGTGACAATGTGAAGAGAAATAATCTGTTCCTGCAGTTCTAGAGTAATGTACATTTTTCAGTTTCTGTTATCCTCACATGATAGAGGGTGACTTACACAGGGTGACTTCTGTCCTTATTCAGTATTTTTCTCATTCATTTGGATATGTGTTTCTAATGGACTTAACCTTAGCATGAAAGAAATACAGGAATTCTCCAAGGAGATCTTTGCCTTTCCTCCATTACTAGCTTCGCATCTTCATTCTTTATCTGAAAGTCTGTGTTTCCAGATAAACAGTGAATTATCAGCTAGAATTACTAATACTATTACCCAGATCTTTACTGATTCCCAAACTCAACCCCAAGGCATTGCAGTGAACTACCCAACATTACTCCTTCTATAGAGTGGTTTTGTTTTATTCTTGTTATACTTTTTTTTATAAGTTTACCCTGCAGACTGTAGCGTTCCTAACACACAGCTCTGTACCTCCACCGCTTTTATATCTGTCCTTCCGCATTTTATTCAAAACATCTGTCCCAGTCAATACAGCTATCCTATCACATCCCTGCTGTTCTTAACAGTACTCAGTTTAATTATTGTTGTAGTATCCAGTAGTCCCAGTTCTTGTGCTGCCCAAGTTTCTGGAGTTTGTACAGGAGAGTGTCACTTGGTGGTTGTTGGCAACTTTCTGCTGTTCTTTGAGATCAGGTGCTGCACTAATTTGCAGCTACTCTTCTCATCACTTTTAATCATTGATAAAAGCTTGACTCTGAGAAGGGTGGAAAAGCATGTATTTGGAGGATTGGGAAACAGACCTTAAGGTGAATAGGATTTTAACAGTGCATTAGGTTTACAGCTAGTTTTACTGTCCTCAGCATTGTCAGAAGTCTGGGGAAATGTTTTACTTTGAACACAAGTGGAAACAAAATGTGGCTGTCAACAGATGAGCAATACTGCTGACTAAACACACTGTGCTGAGTGCACAAAGTTGGCAAACTGAAAAAATGTTTATTTTTTTCTAATGTCTGTTAATTGCAGTAAACATGGGTGTTTCTTTTAACAATAGCAGGTACACAACAGTTTCAGAAAGGATTGTTGATGGTGGCCTTAAAACAGCTCAACAAAACTTTGGCCATAACTCCTAGAAAAACAATTCTCATTCTTTTCTAAATAGCGTCCTGGAACTCCATCCAGCTGAAGAAACAAAACGGTCCTTTAAATGTTGTGCATGTGACTCTCCTAAAACACAATCAATCTAATGTGATGATTCCCCAATTTAACAAATTTAATCACAGCTCGGCAGGGTTCCACTCATGTAGATTTATGAAGGCAATGGTTTGGAGCATGTAGGACTGCAAGAAATATCATTCACATGTCAATAGGCCCTCAAGACAATTTAAAGAATAATATGTAGCTGAATCTGAAATGACTGATCCATGCTCAGATTTCACTGCTTTGCTGCACTGGCAGTGATCAATATGTTGGAAAATGCTATCACACACTAAAGAAGTAACAGGCATTCTTGATGCAATTGATAAGTATAAGAAAATCCCAGCTTTTTCTGCAGTTTTGCTATAGCATTACTGTAGCTCAGTGTGTGGGAACTGGTGGTGGGAACACTATAAAACCTCTGGGAATAAGATTTACAGTCTCTTTGCGAGTCCAGATTTGGAAAGTTCCCACAACAGCTTTCTGGAGTTTAGCCACTTTAAATCTGAAGAATTCATTGCTGTCAGAAACTTTTGTACCTGCTCCTGTTGGTAGTACCTGTAATGAATAGGACTGAAAGGTATCATCTCTTCCTTTTCTTTATCCTTCTTTCCAGTCTTATTATGCCTTAGGTAGCCCTGTGTGCAAGTTGTCCTCATGCTGTCACTTAGCCAGGAAGAAACAAAGGAGGGTTCCTCATGAATTTCCACAGAGGAGCTGTGATCCTTCTAATTCTTCATTTTTAAAGTTTATTATCATCAGCCACTGAAGAAGTGATTTTTCAGAAAATAAATTAGCTCAGCTTTTAAAAATACCAGGTTTAAAAAAATGTTTTTGAATAAGTATTGATATTAACAATAGTCCTATTGTGCAGGATAATGTAGTGGCACAGTATGTAATTTGGGAAACCAAAAATCCACTATGCTTGTATATATGTGTTTTGATCTGATTGGAAATATTGCTGAAACATCATTTGCAATCCAGTGGAAACCTTCTACAGGGGGTGGAGGGAAATACTGCCAGAGTTCATGTAGCCATGGAAATTTATGGTGCCTGACCTCATGGTTAGAAAAGATCTCAGAAGTATATATTTACCCATTTGTCCCACCCTTACCTCAACCCAGATGTATCAATAAACATGAGGGTTTTTATTCCCTTCAAATTAATCAAGTGATGTTTCAGAGTCACCAACACTAGCAGCAGGTAGAAGGATCACTCACTGGCTGAGAGGGGTTAGTACATCTGCTTGAATTTTTGGCATTAAGGCTTTTCTCAAATTCTAACCAAATTTACTAAGTCATGGAGGGGAAACCTGCTGTTTGTATCTTTTATCATCTGTTGATGTAAAAGCGTTTGTAATGCAACCAAATAGCTTTGCTTTTATAGGTCCCCAGACTAGTTTCAGTGTCTGGGTTTTTTGATTGCTTTTGGTTGAAAACCTTTCACTAAGTTGTTATAAAATGGATTGACAGTGTCACTTCTATTATTGAAAACAATATATATTTGCTCAGAGATGATGAAACTCTATTTCCTACTAGTTTGCTGGCACCACATCATAGAAGAAAGAAGCATAACTATGAAAAAGATTGCATAACTGAAAAAACACAAGAAAGTGCTGCAAATGATGGCAGGGACCATAAAGAGCATGACTTTTACAAAACAAAACCTCAAACCGACTCAAATCTGGACATCAGTGTTGCATCACATTAGTGCATTTTTAGAAACATTTAAAACACAGCTCTCCTGGAGGTTATCCAAGTGGCTCTGTCATGATTGCTCGTGTGAAATTCAGCTGGTGCCAAGTGATGGAGTTTTCAGCTCTTGCAGATGAAACAGTGGTGGGTTTGATGCAGGGAAGAGGCAATGTGGGAGGCACTTGCTGTCCTGGGGGCGTGCAATGTGGGAGCACGTATGGTTGTCCCCAGCAAACATCCAGGGGAGCTGACAGCTCCCCTAGGTTTGCTCCCACTGAGTTTCCTTGAGATCCTACACTTGTCATCCTGGCTGGGTGGAAAACGATCTTTGCTGGCAGCCTGGGGCTGCAGTGACCAATGCTGCTTACTGTCACGGGGCCAGTTGGGTGTCCAGCACTGTCTGGGCTCCTGTCGCAAGTGGCACCGTGTCTCCAGCTACTGGCCGCGAAGCCTGCAGCACTACACTCCCGGGAATGTTTGGTGCCTGCCTGGTGAGCTTGTGGTCTCATGGGAAATGTTGTCATTGTCTCTTCTTTGCAAAAGAGGTGATGATTTCCCATGCTCGTCAATCAGGCAGCTTTCCCTAGCACTGTATTTTAGCAGGCTTTTTAAAATTTCTTTAAAAAAAAATAATTTAAGACAGCATAACCCTTGACATTTAACTCTCTGGTTACTATGGAAATAACACCAGGTGTTTTGCAAACTCCTGACAGGTACAAGTTACAATGAATAGTGGGGAATCAAAATAAACAGGTAGGGAAAGCAGACTCCAGGCAAAAAAAGATGCGGAACAACCTGTATTGTCATACAACACTTGAACCAAAATTCTAGAGTCTAAAATAACCGATGCTTTCTTTTTAAATTATTCAGTTGTCTGAGCACTTTCTGAAATCCAAAATTAACTGTTATGTCTAATTTTTTCATTAATCTCGTGGATGCAGTGATTCTCTTGAAAAAGTTTAATCTCTCAAGTAATAAAGAGCAAAGTTGTAGCTATCCCTACTGTCTGAATTTTCAAGCTCTCCAGAGTTTGCTTCTTTTAAGCAAGGATGTAATAATTGCCACCCCTCTGCATTCTGAGTCAGTACAGGTAAATCACACAGACCTCACTGAACAAGTCTCTAGTGCAGTCCTTTCTAGACAAGAGTAAAGGGTTTGATCTTGTGCAAAAAACTCCTGTCTTTCTGCAGAACACATTCCACGTGGAAACCTGCCTGTCTTTTTAGCTAGAGAATATATTCAAAATAAGGAACTAATCAGCCTGTTGTTTAGCCTAGTTACATGCTGCACCTCTGTGCTCTTGTAACTGGCACTGAGCTTGAATGAAACCTTTCCGACAGATCCTGTGCAATCTTTGCAGTAAGGTCCAGTTACAACCAAGATTCAAAAACAGCTCTAATAACAAAACCAAATACTTTGTCCAAACTTCAGGAAAGTTAGTGTCAATGATAAAATTTTCAGCTGGCGTTAGGGTAGAGGAGACCATTTTGTCACACTCTGCAATGCCATTACCCTTAACAGATACACAGTTAAGTTGTTGCAAGACTTACTTGCTTTGCATAGCATGTCTGGGAAGATGCTTTTGCAAGTGTGGAAAATTATTTACTTGTACCTACAGAGAAATGTGTCCTTTATTCCCATAGCTTCAAGGAGCTTCAAGGAGCTTCAAGGCTCCTCAAGGCTCCTGTTCTTCGACCAGATTGCTCCGTGTGTCATTTCTCTTGCAGATGCACCAGTCTTTTTTCTTTTCTTTTTTTTTTTTTTTTGAGGACCCTCTATGTAGTATCTCAGCTTGGAACTGCAATTTCCTATCTGGAATTATTCAGTTTGATTCAGTTTACTAAAAAAGAAAATAGATGTCTCCATTTTGGGATGCTCCCTGTGTTTACACAGGTTATGGTGGTTATTCAAAACAAGCAAAGGAGTAAAATGGTGGGCACCACTTAGGGGCAAGTGTTCTAAAAAATGAGAAGAAAAAGAAATGGTGGTCTGGGACTGCTGCTGATCAGCGGCCACTTCATAAAGTTCAAGGCGCAAAGTCAACTTCTGGAGTGAGAGATCAGAAGTGAGAGATGCTTGGAGAATGACTGCCATGTAAATGTTTCAAAATTTATTCTGTGTTTCTCTCTTGTTTGTATTTCAGAAAGATGAGAAAGCCACAATAGCCAAGATGAACCGTCAGCGTGCTAACTCCATCAGCCATAACCCTCCACACTGGGGTGTTGACCGGCCCTTTTATAATCACCTTGGAGCTCACCAGGTCTCCAAGGAGATGAAGAGAATGGTAATGCCTTGCTTTATGGACATAATTTTTTTTCTTCTTAATACAGCATTATATATCCCTTCCTGCTTTGTCTGAAGGTTTTTGCAGCCCCGAGGGCATTTTCCAAATGGGGGTGGTAAATTCTACATTGACTCCAGAAATAATAATTGGTACATCTGGAGGTGATTGTGAGATGAGGCGCGGGGTTGTTTGAGAGGGGAAGGGAGGCTGAATGGCACAAAGAAGGCTCTTTTGTCTGACTTGTCCCACATTCTGAAAACTCATCCAGGCTGTGCTAGAAGATGCGATTATCTACAAAAACTGGTCAGTAACCCAAGCATTCAAACAGCAGCTGACGTACATTTCTACTAGATCATTACAGACTTCAGCACCTGCAAAGGTTTCTTGCTTGCATTGTAACAGCCAGATGCTGTTCACCTTCTGTAAGCTACATGGCCATGTATGCTCATGGGTCCCAAGGAATCATGCCACTGTGTTTAACTCTGGAGAATGCATTCTTGAGTACATGGGTTAATTGGCCTAAGGTAGCAGGCATCTTCACTTCTTGCTTATACCTTTCAGTCCTCCTAAATTAAAATGAACAAGAGCTAGTTACCAATGCAGTTGGACTGAGAGCACTTTTATGGCTTATTTACAACATAAAGTTGTATATGATACCTTTGTTTCCTGCAATAAAGATGAAGAAAAGAGTTGCTATTATAATGGCTATTTGTAACAATAATACAAATATTTAGCACCTCTATAATTGCATGCGTAATCAGATTGCTCTATGACCTTATTAATGCTGTTTTGACCCTTCATGCACAGTCAGAAGTGTGTATTTGTTGCCCACTTTGTTGCCCATAATCAAAGTTCTGCTCCAGATCACCAAAGCCTTAAAGTATTCAAAGAACTTTTTAACATGAGATTCACTCCCACAGCTTAAAACTTTTGGCATAGCTATAAGCAACCGCACATGGTGTCTTCTAATAGGAAATGCTGGCACATTTATTAATAGTTGGTGCTAATATTATTCAATCATAATATTGTTTTGCAGTGCTAAACCAAATTTCTTAATCTCCATAGTAATGTTTCTTTCATTTCTCAGATCTCCAAATGAGGGCTTCTGACATAAGCGTACAGATTAGTGGAACTGTGCGTTTTTTATGTGGGCTTTTCAATAGGGTGTGCTCAATAGGCATGACATTATTAGAAGAGCATAATCACACTAGCACATAATTATAATTATAAGTTTCTTTGAATAGCTTTTAAGGGGTTCTTGCAGCCTCCTGTTCAGAAACAAGGTGTAAGCATGCCAAACGGTATTATGCTTCTTGGTGTTAATTACAGTTTGTCGTGTCTAGCTGGTTGTTCAGTTGGAAAAACATAATTATTTATTGAAATATCAAGCTGAGTTCTAAAAACTTCACTGCCCCTCACTTGCAGGAGGAAAAGCTTCTTTTTTTTTTTTTAAACCTTATCTTGAACCTTTCCCTGGGATGGTATTTACCTTTTTATAAATTCAGCAGCTCAGAAAAATCTTTTCCACACAACCTGCTTCCATACTGCCTCTCGTATTAAGCTCTTTTTTGAGAGGCTGATGTTGCATGTGTCAGGCTATTTCTTGAAAAACAGTTTAAACCTGATTCAGATGTATTATTTTCAGCTAGACTTTTTGTTGTTCTTGGGGACTATTTTTTAAAGTCTATTATTTACAGTATTTTCCACTGCTTTATGTTTGAGATGCATTAGTCAAAATGAAAACATGCTGTGCTCTGTGGCCTAGAGACCATTTTAATATCTGCAAGATGGACATTTTATTGATTAGATCACAGGAAAAAATTCTCGGTCTCCTGTCTCAACTATTTCTGTGTTAACTTCTAATTTAAATATGCATTTCTTTGTACCACCCAGCTTTGCACAGTACTTTATTTATAGTCTGTAATCTTTAACATTGTGTTACGTGGGTGCTGTGTGTGCTTAAATGCATGCACAGTGCATGCTGGCTGCACGCACATGCACGCTGTCTGCAAAGTGCCTGCTTAGCAATACAAAATACAGACAGACAGAAGGGGAGCAGAACTACAAAGGTTTTTTTCAGTGCTCCTCTGGGATGACATGTCATTGATCTTCATACACAGCACCAGCTTTCAAAGCTCCTGAAAATGTGCTCTTTTTTCCACATCACCCACCTTTCCCCTAGACCTCTTGCATGTAATTATATGTAGCCTTTTTTCTTGGAAACTATGAACATGTAAAGTTGGATTAGTCAAAGTAGTATGCCAAAGGCAGGCAGTGCAACATTGCCTTTCTCTTTAAAACCTGAAGCTCCTTAGCTGTGTAATTTCAAAACAGGTATTTATAAGGATAATTGTGAGATAGTCCTCAGGCAGGAGCCAGGTAACGTTGCAGTGATGGGCAGTTACATTATATTGATATACATTTGATATGAATGAATACATTTGTGTGGAAGGAGTAATATGGATGGTTATGAAGGACACAGTTTTTTGTCACAAACTTAGAACGTTTTGCATTATGAAGACAACGATATTTCCAGAAAAAAGAGAGTTTTTTTGTGGCGCTACTTAAAATTCCCCAAAAGAGAATATTAAAGTTCCCTGAATTGCATTTTTGGGAGGGAACTGTTATATTTAATAGAAAACAGAATTACTTTGGCCATTTTTCTTTCCTTCGAACTTTGGCTCTGGTACCTGTCTCTATTCCTAGGGTATGTTAGGAGTAGTCCTGAATGAGACAGATTAGTATCAGTGGTAGCCGTATACTCCTCCCCCCGACTCCTCTTTTGTCGTGGCATTTCAACACGCTGCCATGTCTGGGCACATCAGCAGTGCATCTGGTGGGCTTGCTGGGGTGGGCAGCCCAGCTGGCTGCATGGGGACATCTTTGGTCCCTGCTTCTCTCCATGTTGTGGCTCGGAATTTAACCTCTGCTGGGTCCAGCTGACTTTTCACAGTGCTCCTAGGCTAAGTTGTTCCCTGGGCACAGAGGAGTTTGTTCAAGCACTTGCACACACATATAAGTAAGACAAAATATCCTACACATGTCCATGCAGCAGAAATCTAAAATGTCATGGAAAACTGGAGTTACTTGCCTAATCCTACCCTAGCTAACTGGGGCCCGAATCAGCTGGGATTGCAACTGTGCCGGCTCATCCCGACCTGCCCAACAGCCCCTCCATCTCCCTCATGCACTGGTCTGCTTTCCAGACTATCCCCCATCCTCCTTTTTCCCCTCCCATTGCTTAGCAGTGGTCTTTCTTGCTGTGCAGAGCCTCCAGGCAGGCAGCAAGCAGGAGACACCGGCGTTGCCCATTGCAGACCCTGACCCCCATTAGCTGGTGGAGCCACTGCCCAGAGAAAGCTGGCCTGGGGACTTTGCTGAGTTGTGCTGCCGGGTCAGTGGCTGCCCCTAAAAATCTGGTGAATTTGCAGCAGAGGAAGATCAGATACAAATGGCGTGGGAGGGCAGAGAGCCGTGCTCTGAGCTGGCAGCCTCTGCGGGAGCCCTGGCCCTGGGAGCCCGGGCCCTGGGAGCCCGGGCCCTGGGAGCCCGTGTTGGTGCTGGCCTGGGGACTTTGCTGAGTTGTGCTGCCGGGTCAGTGGCTGCCCCTAAAAATCTGGTGAATTTGCAGCAGAGGAAGATCAGATACAAATGGCGTGGGAGGGCAGAGAGCCGTGCTCTGAGCTGGCAGCCTCTGCGGGAGCCCTGGCCCTGGGAGCCCGGGCCCTGGGAGCCCGGGCCCTGGGAGCCCGTGTTGGTGGCCAGGGTGACACTGCCGGTGTGGAGCGGGCGGAGGGCTGCCTCGCTCGCCCTGGGCAGGCAGAGAAGCCTGGACAGGATCAGCTTTGTGGCTGTATACGGGGTATGAGAAGAGACAGAGCGTGGCAGAAGAGCAGCACAGCTGCTTTCTGTTTTTATTGCTTTTTACAGCATGTTTTCTTGTTTCCTAAACAAAGCGGTCAGTCTAGGACCAATGACTGTATCTCTGGAAATGCAGACTTTTGTACTGCTCGTGATGTACACAAAGGAGCAGCATTCCCCCAAGTCTCCGTGCATCAGCCTTGTCTTGCCCACTGCCTCTCTGGTCCAGTTTTTAATTGCAAAAGGGTAAAAAATAAATGGACTTGAAAGCACTTGAGAGTACAGGTATATTTATAGCTATAACAATATTTATACACCACTAAGAAATACTTTGCTTTTCCCAGTATAGATTTCAGAGTGCTTTTATAAATATCGATGGATTTTAGACTTCTGAAAATAATGCTCATATCTCAGTTTTCATCAGCAAAACAAAACTTCTATTAAAAAAAAAACAATTTGGGGATTGTAGTTGACTACAAATTGAAAGAGGTTTATTGTAAACAGCGATAAAAAGTCAAATATTGATACCTTCCAAAATAACAGGGCTGTTCTAGATGACAAGTGATTCTCTTGCATCTTTTACCCTGCTCAGCATTATTAAGGTCATAGCTGGAAAACCACATCCGGTTTGGGATTACAGTCCTTTAGGAGAATGTGGATGAGCTGGAGATAGTCCAGTGGAGAAAATTACAAATTAGGAGAGTTTCAACAGTGTGACCTGTGAAGAAGCGTTGAAGTATTGGGTTTGTTTAGTCTAGAAGGGAGAAGACTGAATAGAAACAAAAGTCTTCAAATACATGAAGATTTGTAAGGATGGAATGAAGAATATAAGAATAATATGAGATAGATGTAAAGATTTTATGAAGTTTCCAATCTAGGCAGCACAGAACTTTGAGGCATCGATCTGCCCCCTTGTACAGGAGCCAGCTATACCCACAACATTTCTGACAGGTATTTGTCTAGCCCTTGTTTAAAAACCTCAAAGGATGAAAATCCTACAGTCTTGCCGGGCATCCTTTTCAACAGTTTGATTATTTTTCTTGATGTTTCGCTTTGTATTCCCTCACTTCAATTCTAAAACACAGTGCTGTGCGAACTATTCACAGTAGACAGAGGACATTTTAATTTTCTCTCCTTTA